TTGAAGTAGCTAGATCCACTCTTCTGCAGAACCGACGTTAGTGCCAGAAATCCTCAAGCAACTCCTTGGGTGCCATCACAATGAGAAGGTACTTTTCCTCTTGACCTTCTTCAAACTGGATGACAACGTCTTCCAGCCTTCTATCCAAAACTGCGTATCTACGGTAACAGATACATGTAAGAACCACTTTCTTTTCTTGTTTTCTTTTCTAAGCTGATTCGAGGTCTGGCCAACTTCTCGGAGCCTTGCTATCTCATCTATGACGTTAAGAATACCGCTCTCGATGAATCCTTGCTTGCTCTGAAGAGCTGCTTGTCATTTAACAAGTCAGAGGATTCTATTACTATCCGGGCCCGTGAGAAGCGCATCGAGCGTGTATGTTTGATGAACGAAGAATATAGTCGAACAGTAGGCAATATACTATCCTTATCGATGTGTCTCACCACTGAGGCTTGAACAGACTCGAGCGGTTCTCGAAATTGCCAATGACACTGCCACACATTGGCGCTATGCGATAGTGGCAGTTAGGGTTCTCCGCACTCTGCTGCGCCGCGATACTCCAACTTCGCCTAGTCACCTTAATCTTTTCCTGGAGAAAGTATGTGATAGCGATCCTACTATGGTGCGTTCTTGTGGTTTACTAGGTCTTTGCAAGGAAGTTGACATTTTTGTGGATATTAGCGCTACGTAGATCATGACTGACATCGAATTAGTCACGAACTGACTTGCTCTATATATCAGTATGCGCAAAGAGGTATCATGAAAGCACTGAGATACATCAAACTTCGATCGTACTGTCGAAATCCAGCGGCTTTGGCTCTGTTCTCCCAAATCAACCCACTACGATGCGACATTCCCATCGAAGGTTCGTATTCGGCGACCGCTGAGATACTCACCAATTTCAAGTTACGGGTCCCTATCAGATCTTTGGGGACTCTCGATCTCAGCAGGTGGGTCCTTGTGGAGTCACGCTAAGAAGTACTCACTCCCATCGAAGTATATATTGCGATACACTACATCAAGGCTGGCTCGCTTGGAGTGGTACACTGGCAGCATACAAACCACCTCATAGGTCGGAGAGCACTTTCGAATGGGAACCATCAAGCGCAGAGGCTTTGTCTTGCCTACGTGAAATAACAGTGGATGCAGACTTCTGGAAGAAACTTTCCGGACACTTCGCTGAAGAGAACCACGAGAGTACTGTGGTACAAGACCACATATCATGCGTCAAATCAATATGTAAGTCCAATGTTACTTCACAATCAACCTCCATAATTTCGAGATAGTTCAAGTATTGGGTGATGAACCCTGGGACTTGTTGAAGCCCAAACTGGAGACGTTACTAGCCGACCAAGATAAGAACAAGCAAAGGGCTGCAGCAGAACTTTTGGCTGGTGTTTTAAACGGTGAGCAGCTTACTTATGTAAAATTTTGTATGCTGACTGTCGCAGGTTCTAAACATTGGCCACAAGAGGCCCAAGATCAAATCTGGCAATGGTTTACTCCCTACATTAAGAAGACGCTAGATCAGAGCATGAAGACAGAGACTGTACCCATCTGGACTTCATTTGTCGGGGTGTGTGGCCAAGAGCTTATAACTTTGTGCATCTATTTAAACAACTTTTAGTACATGTTCCATCACAAAGATCCGCGGCGACTCCAACCACTCGTTGAGCATCTCATTGAACAATTTAACAGCATGGACTACAATGGACCATCATCCCTGGAATCCGTCAAAGTTCTGGCATTATTTCGGGCATTCTACACTGAATTAGAGTGGAAATTCATATCTTGGTCGGACAGCACCATGGATCGATTTTGGCGCGAGGTGCACAGTGAACACGATGATGTCAGTACTTTCACACTCTTATTTGTGATTCAGTGATGATTCTAATGGGGATTAACAGGTAAGATCACATGTTGCTGAGATGATGGCATTTTGCAACGGTATCAAGGTTGGCGATTTCTGCATTCCGCTATATATATATATAGGTTGTTGACCTTGATGGATAGTGGCAACCCAAGCCTGTGTCTCTCGATGTCGAAGCTTTCGTACGGGAGTGTCGAGAAATGACTGATGATGCAGATATCATGGGCATACGTGGTACCTATCATACAAACAGAGTTCTCGAACTCGTGGACAACTTCAAAGTGTGGAGAGAACAGCGGCTACCAGGTGTGAGAGCCTATCAGTCAACCTATGACAGGTAACGTATAATATTCACTTCTTTAAAGTGACCGCTGAATACTCTCAGAGTTGGGATCGTTGTTTGCCGATGGTTGTTCCTGTCAGTCCACGGTACTGATGCCATATCTGCATTCGACTATATTTTGCCTCTTATGGTACGTGGTCTATCACCAGCTGCCGAGGAAGTCGTGATTTATGGTTCTTTCAGCCTGAACTGTTCCGTTTCACTGAAGGTACGGTTGTAAATGATACATGCCAGTCAATGTTAAAAACATCCTCTTAGTGCATGATAACGAGGAGCTAGTAAGGCATGCTAATGTACTTCTTGTTCGCATGTGCGGGGTCGCTCCTCCACGATCAATGATCGGCCCCTTATTGAGTGCTATATTCTCCGCCATCCAGACGTCACCAGTAAGATATCTACCAGCGTCCGTAACTATTCTATACTCACTTTTGCAGTCATGGAAGGTTCGCTTGAAGGCTCTACCAATTCTACAGGGTAAGTTGTTGCTACTTTAATCTGGTGCTTGACGACATCACATTACTCAGTTCTGTACTTCCGACAACTTCCTCTGATTAGTGAAAGCGAAGTCAATGACATTCTAGACGTAAGTAGTTCTATCGATTTATGTCGTGCCTGCACTAATTAGTTGTAGGTATTGTGTCAATCATTGGACGACGAAGTCGTAGAGGTGCGAGAGATGGTTGGGACGTGAGTCTCGAAATCTGTCTTTAAAACGTTTCTAACTCCTGTTCAGTACCTTATCGGGAATACTTCGACTGTCTCCGAGGCGCAGCGTTGTGACTTTGAAGGTTGGTCAGTAGTCACATCGTCTTTTGATTTTATCCACTCTTTGGTCTAGGACCGATTTGTCAAACTGGCGGGAAAGATTCAGCTCCCTGATCGCGTATCGCCAGTTTACAATGCTGCCGTTCGTCAGCGGCACGCCGCTATCATTGGCATATGCGCCCTCATTGACAGTTTCCCGTACACTATCGAGAAATGGATGCCAGGGCTCTTGACGACAGTGATGCTGGAACACACACATGATCCTGTGAGCAAATCTTCATTTGCTTGACTGCATATTCTGATCTTCTGCGCTGCAGATTCCAATTTCGACAACTATCCACAGGTGCGCGAGCAATTTTAGGAAAACACATCAAGACACTTGGCACGAAGACTCTCGGCGCTTTACCGATGATCAGCTGGCAGCTCTGTCGACGTTACTGACCGGATCATCGTATTGTAAGTGCAAATTATAGTTCGTCCATTCTCGTTGGTTTATGATGCTTTGTCAGATGCTTGATCTTGAAATCCGAAATTTATTTTGTAGATCATGACAGAGCAAATCTCATTGATGTTGGATAGTTACACATTGAATCGTATAGAAATAGGCTAGCTAGAGAAAGCAATTCCAATACTTGATTATACAAGAAAGTTCAGTTATTTGTGACGAGGTCCGAGGACTTGCTAGGTAGATGAAATATGTCCGGTACTTCAAGATGGAAATTGATGTGTTTATCATACGTGTAAATGGGGTATAAGGCCACTAGCACTGGAGGCAAAGGAGGTATTATAAGAGTTTGGGGATACGAGACCATCTTCAAGGTCAGGAATAGCTAGACCCGAAGCGATATATTCGTCACCATTGGCTGCACCAGTTCGCGCGCCTGCCTCGGGAACCGTGTCTATCGGGGCATTTATCCGATCGTCGTAACCAGATTTCACGCGATTGTTCGAGACTGACTCCCTAGTGATACAAAATAGTCAGTTTGAAAGAGGTATAATACGTAAAAAGAAATCCAACCGAATCTCAGCAATTAAATCATCGACAGCATACCAAGCGAGAGGACCGTATGCGACACCTCTCCACCAGCCAAGTAGATCGGCAGGGGCTAGATAGGCGTGTGCATGAAGATGATCTGTGATAGGAATTTTGTTGTCCTTGAAAGGCGGAGTAATGAAGCCGATCCGAAATTGGGATTCGGTATGAGGTGCCGAAGGTGCGGTAGAACTATTGCCAGATGAGAAAGGGGAGGAAGAGGGCGGCGACGACGCGGACAAAAGTCTCCTGCCAAGGTTTCTAACATTCACAAGAAGAGGCAAGTCACTGGAAGACTACCAAAGCCAGGTAAGATTCTTCGCCGCGGGGAGGCCTGAAATGTTACGTACCAGGGTGTATATCGATGGAACATGGAGACTGGGGTATTCGATCAGGGGAAAGTGCTTGAAGAATCTGATATGGTAGATAGAAGACTTACTTGAACGCTATGATTATATGACCACTGGAAGATACTGGATGAGCTTTCTCCCGGTACGCAGTAAAATTTTCGTCCTTCCAGAGTATTTCTGGCTCTGCCGGCTCGTCTGGGCTGTGTGAACGTGGGGACTGTCCGGGGGCATGAACCGCTGCAGCGGCCACGATCCCACACACAGGACACCCAGGCTTGGATGGAAAAGCCATCAAGTACGAAGATAAGCGAACCCAGGACAACTTAAACGAACAAAGGTTCTTAACCGAATGGCAAATGGTTAATTATGTAAATGAATATGCATTGGCAAGCTTAGTCCCAATCCTCAGAAATTCAATTTCTTTATACTTATTCAAACTCCGAGCCGCTTCAGCGTGACGAAAAAACCTTTGTCACGACCTATGGTATTATGATACAAAGTGTGGTTTTTAGGAGGCATGAAATACGAAGAAGTGGTGATAGGCAATGGTACGGCAATGTTGCAATGTGGTTGCCATATTATTGCGATATATATTGAAAAATAACAGAAATTCGAATACAATACCTCCGCTAACTCAAAGGACATGTACTAAACTTGGTGTTCAAGGTCGTCGACCGCTCTCAGGCTCCCCATCTTATTGTCACGCTTTCCAAATGGGAACCCATCGAGAAAGTGTCATCAAAGCATTTGATGAGTTCCGACAAGAAATAGACGAACATCATGACCGGAGAGAACGACTTATCAAGGTTCCAGGCTCTCGAAAGAATCAACTGCGTCACTGAGCATTCTGACCCCTCCAATAGATTAGCCGGGATGCGACAAACCTTTCCAAGAAAGTCATCTTCCTACTCCACCGAGCAATGACAGAAGAGCCCAATAATGACTCTAATCCCTCTCTGCGAGTAGTCCGTCGCGGTCGTGAAAAGCTTCGGGAAGTGCAAGCGTTATATGCACAAATAAGGCTCGAGGTACAAGCTGAGCGGTTCTGGCACTACCACAGAGCAGTATCGCCAGGCCTCCAAGAGTGGGCTCTAACATGGCAAATTGGTTGACATACGTGTTGAACGCCTTTGACTTCAGGTATATTGAAGCACTGGGCTTTGCTCACTACCTCGAGCATGGCACTCTGGTGTCATATCAGGAAGTTCAGCTGTCTCTTTCTGACGAGAACGGCATACCTGTGCGTATGCTACACCTCAATGATACCCGTATGACTGAATCTTGCACTCTACGGCACGACCCTAGTATTTTACTCTTCCAAAGGAAGATTACTTGCTGGGTTTGTCTGATGTCACTGGCGAACTCATGCGATTTGCAATATCTGGAATAGCTCAGAAGGGCGGTCGCGTCAGAGCCAGAGAAGTGTGTGCATTCGTCCGGCAATGCAAGGCAGGCAAGTCAGTCAGTTTGACAATAGTGTGCAAAGATGTGATTGTGGATAAGTAGATTTCGAACACTTTACTCCTTACGTGAGGGAGTTGTCCAAGAAACAGGCTGTAACCTCACAATCTCTGGAAAAGATTGAGGACGGTAGCGTTTTCTCTATCACCTGGCACTCATGGACAAGTACTGAACGCTATTCCAGCGGTGTATGCCATCGTGGTCCGAGGATCTGAGTACGACATCCCCCCTGATATGTTAGACGACATTATCGCGCAGTCGATCTCAACTTTCAGTTCTACTACCAGTGCAAAATCGAGACTTGGTCAAAGAGACATTCGGAACGGAGATGATTACGACGATGAGATTTAATATAGATACCCAGCAGAATTTTGTTTTGACAATCTCAATACTAATACGAGTTTAGGCGGCCTATAGTTTATATTGGTTCTGGTGCACCAATTACACTAAGTTTGCCTCCTAGATACGTACAACACAAAGTTGAAATCTAGATGTGAAACACCACTTATTGCAGACATTGGTGTGGACTCAGGCGTCAATGCTGACCAGGAGCTCCGGGTCAACATAGCGACATTCCTTTTGTCTACGGTAATTTTAGGTTAAATGACAGCTGCGAAGAGATAATGCTATATACGACAGCCTTCGAAGAGTCTTTGTGTTGCGTCGTGAATTATGGTAAGATCTCCTGACCAACAACTTAGGTATCGAATACTCTCAGATTCAGAAAACCCCCGAAATGTGAAATCACCCACAAGAACAAAGAGCACTATGACTGTTCAACGAGGACATGAGCACATTGTTTCTGCGATCAACGGTAGATATATGGGCGAAATGACCTTACCTAATATGCACATTGCATAAAATCTTGGCAAGATTGAAGATACCGACCGACCAATGATTTGTGCGTGATTTGCTTGGGAAGCAATATGGCTTCATGGATGTCGTGACCGTGAAGCGTGCAATGAGCATGTAAGGAGTCCACACACGTTCGGAATGCTCAGTCATCTCATACACCAGAATAACATAATCCCACACGTAAGGCGAAACGCTAGCTTCATAGCATCCTGTGGTGGATAGGGGGGTGGCGCGACTATGAGATTAACCGATCGGTGAATATATGCGGCGGGCGAAACAGTTGACCGAATGGATATTTCATTGATCGCAAGAATGTGGCACTAAACAACGCCACTCCTGGCTGTGCACGCCTGAACAATATTCATGAGAATGGGAATTAGAGAGAACGTTAGAATGGACTGCAATAAGCAAGCCCCATGAGACAGGCTAGAACGTGCCCCAATAGAGTCCAGGCTCGTATTAAAAGTAGACATTGTGGAAAGCAGTGCCAGGAGCGGTTCGAGCAACCGATCATTCCGAAGTACATCGAGCCCTGCAAAATGCAATCAAAGTCGTGGCTGTGCCAGTGAGTAAATTACCTGAGAACAGCGAAGGCTACAACATGATGCCGCTTGATATAGCAGTAAGTACTGAGGGTCCAGCTCTACTGAACCAAGCGCTCTCGGGTGCACTAACACCTGCAGGGGATTGCGGAGCGAATGGGCCTATAGTGGTTCGAGAAGTCTTTTATCAACTGATAGTATATGTTGATTGGAACGTCGATAGATGGGAGATTGCGGGCCATCACGAACAAGCATCGCACATATCCCTGTGATCTTCCCCGGGCCAATGAAACCTAGTAGTAGAACATCAGAGTTAGCTGAAAAGGCGTTTAATGAATCTGACTCTGAATTATCACCTCGGCTTCGAAATTGATGCCACAGTCGGATGCCTGGTGGACGAATCGAAATGAGTACTATGCACATATACGCCCGATAAACACCCACTAGCGGTGCAGCTCCAGCAACTGAACCTAAGTTAGCCACATGATTGCTGAGTCGCCCGCCTTTAAAGTACTGGTGTGACATGTGAGCAGCATGGATCTCATCCAGAGCCCCAAAGTAATTTTTAGCTTGAAACTCACCTTCACTGTCAGAGGACGTGTTTGTGATTGACTGAGCATAGGACATTGGCACCAACCGCACTAGCATTGGTAATGATTGGATGCACAGTCAACAGCGGTTGCGATCGTCATCAAGTTGAAAGCCTGAAGAGGCCTGGAGCCTGTCTGTACTGTGGATTCCTAGAATGTAAGTAGTTCCGGTCACTTGAAAGCAGTCGACCTAATAATATACTTTTGATTAGCAAGCCGTTTTGAACGGGTCACCGCTCATAGACATACTTGGAACTGCTTGGAATTTGTCCAAACACTGTGTGTTGGGGAAAGCCTCGTGCACATGAGTCATGCGTGATATCCTAGGAGGCTCTAAAGACGGCGGCCTTTGTGAATTATGAGGAACCGAGCTGCACTGAATGTGCTAGAATTTCTGATGGCATCAGTAGGTCAATTTACGTGATGTGACGTGTAAGATAGCAGCTACTCCACGATTGGTCACGAGTCTAGTTGCAAGGTGCGACACCAAACAAGTGCAAATGGTCTGCTGGCTGCTTGAAGCGAATAACAGGCAACGTGAACTGCGACTACGATACGACAAGTAACAATTATGACAGGAATATAGAATATCGAATGAGGTCCGTTTAAGAACATAGGCCATGGAACGAACGTTGGTTACCGTCTCAGTACTCTTCGACGCGGTAAAATCTCCACAACCTCATCGTCTTCATAGGTTGGGTCTCCATCTTCGTCATCTTCGTCATCGTTATACGATCCGAGATTATCATAAACTGGTGGCACGTAGGAAACGATAGCGCCTTGATAGCGTCGTGTACGATAAGCAGTTTCTTTCGCCTTTGCCGTTAGTGCATTCGCTTGGGCGATTCTCCTCCATTTGCTGTAATAAGAGTACGTAAACGAACCAACCGAATAGACTTGGGGAGCTTACTCGTGGCGCTTCCTCCACTCTGCTAACCTGTCTCCCTTTTCTTGCCATTCAGATCGTCCGCTGGCGGCAAGAGCACGGATGTATTGCTGGACTACGGCATCGAGGGAATAATTGGGAAGAAGTGGTTTGAACGTTGACAACGCAGCGCGGCACACTGCACATGCCGGAGACGCTTTCTGTAGTAGTATAGGGCTCATAAAATCCGACCTTGTCCTAAAATAGAATATCTTACATTCTGGGATATCCAGCTTTGAGCGCATTCTCCGCAGCAGCTATGGCCGCAAGGATTGCATAGGTGCGCTGCTACCCTAAAGAAGAACGAGATCAAATACTGCGATGCAGCATGGAAACACTCACATGACATCAAAGCATCTACAATGTTTTTAAGACATCATTTCGCAGGCGAGTAGACTAGGTATCAGTACGCACATCGGACACATGATCTCGGTTTCGAATCCCTCGAGTATTTTGTTTGCTGTCTCATGGCTGTCTTCGGCACTTGTCTTGCCTTTTTTACTGGCGGGCGATGTTTGCGGTGACGACGGTCCACGCTTGCGGTCATCTAGACCTGTACATGGTACGAGTTGTGTTGGTTCGCGCACAACTTTTGAACTTGAAACTCACAAGATGGATGGTAGTGGGTTTCAGACATCATGTAGATGACACAACGGATACATAAGAGCTTAAACCATCGTCGGCTTTTAACGAAACGTACCAGCGCGAGCTGTTGAGTCTACATCATCTTTCAACATGCAACGACTGAAAATGTGTGAAACTCACTACTAATCGATTGCTGAGCAGTTAGAGGAGAAGCTGTATGCGTTGAGTTGAACATAGGGGTTGTGGTATTAGTTGACGATTGACTGACCTCCGAGTTGAGATTGACCATGTGCAAACTGTGCTTCGAGAGCATCCAGAGCGGCAATGGTTGACTCATCTATCTCATCGTCGCATTCATACTCGGAGGGTAGGAAAGACGTAGATGATTGCGATGGGGCCGCTGGTACGGTCACTGTGGGAGGAGGATCATCCAAAGGGCTGATCGAAGCTGGGAGCGGAATTTCCTGAAGACCTGGGACGTTACTCAAGTCCAACTGTCCGATATCGTCTGGAAATTCATCGTCACTATCTGCAGGCTGTTGTGGCATTGGTGAAATCCAAGTTGGACTTGGATGCGAAAGCTTGAGGACGTTACTCGCGAACTGCACGTGATAGTCACGTGATTCCGATCGTCTTGTTGGCAACCATAGACAGCTATTACCTTTTCCTGAGTCTGGGCAGGGCTGCCGTGCTGGCTGACAGAAGCATCAAAGTTTTTTTTTTTTCGCAAGCGGACAAATTTGACCATGGGTTAATTCAATTTACGGGTGTATTTTGGGGATGTTAGTTGCTCCCAGCTAGTGTACATGTGGGGATGTGAACAACGTGTTTTTTTAGAGGCTAGACGGTTTGTTGGTGTTCCGGTTGCTTCCTTGAGGCATTATCAAGGGTCCTTACGAGGTCCTACGATATACGGAATTAGATTGATAAAAATAGAATTGCCAAGACCCTGCCATTGTCAAAATTAGTACCTCCGTTTTATTTCGTCAGCACGTGTCTGCAGCAGTGGAGCCCATCCATCCCTCATCCCTCAGCACTCGGGTGGATAAAATATGGGAAACGAAGCAAGTACTAGCGTTGTCTGCATGTTAGAACACGTCGTCAGATTCCCATTCAGATTTAGAATTCTTCGGCTATCCGAGCCTCACCTTAGGCTTGGCATTCTAAATATACCAGGCTTAAAGATAGAATTTTGGACTTGGCTCACCTACAAAAAGTCTGCGGTTGGCGCCGTTCTAACCCATTCGCTACAAGACGCTTAACAACCCACCTAAATGAATTCTGGCCCTCCACAGGACTACTCTCGTTTGCCCTACCACTCAATCGAGGCAGACTACAGGAGACTCATCATGTCCAGTTCACAAATACTAGAGCAGGTCAGCCTACTCAAAATATATCATCCTCTCCTAGATGCTCACAATCACTCAGGCACCACCACCTAGCCTCAGAGAAATACTTGGGGCATACAAATCGAAAGGCGACGGTGACAGAGATATGCTCATTGCCATGTTGAATGCAAAGAGCGCAGAAGACCAGGTAAGCTTTCTCGTATCTTGCCTCCTCGTCTCCTGTTGACCCCTTTACAGCGACTCGCATCTGTCGCTTCCTTGCACAGGACTCTACTTGAAATGTCCGCAGCGGATGCTCGGCATACAAGCCCTCCACCTCCCTCCCGTCCCTTACCACCCGCAGCACCTTACTCAAAACATGGGCTATTTCCAACTGACATGACCAACGGACGTGTCTCCCCTCAACAATTGCCTGTGGTCAGGGAACCACCTCAAATCTCTCAACCACCTCGAAAACGCCAACGCTCCTCTCGCTCCCCTTCATCACACTACGAATTACGCACATCTCACACATCCTCTCGCGACTTGCCACCGTCGCCATATTCGTCTCGGAGTGATTCCGAGGAGTATTCGCCGCGCTCCAGAGC